CCTAAACCCTAAACCCAAAAACGTATGCCCTCAATCTTTGGAAGGCGTGGATCGGAAACCTAGTATCCGAGACGGAACCCGAAACGAAAGCTCCACCTTGGACTTGTGAGCCCCGAGCCGTGCGACCGAAAACTGTAAAGCACACCGCCTTGAGTACTGTAAAGGAGCCCAAAACCCTGTTCTAATTTTTAAGGCCCCTACATTACCTCTCGAACTTTGGCTTGTGGGAAGCCTCTGCGTAACTGCCGAGCGGCAGGGCCGTAATTTCGCGAGGGGTTTCAGTTTCGGGTTCAAGGCTTGAAGGGTTTAGGCTTTAGGTTTTACGGTTTAGGGTTTAGGGTTTAGGGTTAAGGGTTAGGGCCCAGGGTGCAAAGGTGAGAGATTTTTGAGTGCCTGTCCTTTCAGAAGCTGGGGGGTTCAAGTTTAATATAGAAGCCTCAATAGTCAATGACCAATATTTACTGTTCGGGTTCTTTAGTACAGAAATACTATAAAGGAGCCCAAAACCCTATTCTAATTATTAAGGCCCCTACATTAGGTTGCCTACTGTGGCTCGCTTCGGGAGTTCGGCAGGGTTTGAGGTTTAGGGTTTAGGGCTGTGCGATTCCGGATGCAGGCGATTCGGGTAGATGGGAGGGTTGATGGTTAAGACATACGCCAGGATTTCTGGGTGTGGTGTAGGGATTAAGATTGGTTGGGACTCGAGATTTGGGTTTTACTGTGTTCGTGCGGAAAGCCCTGCTGATTTTGGCAGTGATCGTGCCCACTCGAGGCGTGTGTCAGCCTGTTTCACCAACCGGCGAAAGCCCGCGAACCGCAAAATCAGGCCTCCTTACGGTTTAGGGTTTAGGGCGTTTAGGGTTTAGGGTTTAGGGTTTTGAATTTCGCGTTCATGGCAACTTTTTGGGTCCCAATATAGTACGGCACCCTTATAAAAAGGGCCCCAAAAGGGACCCTAATTTAGAAAACTACCCAAAAGCATGTTGGGAAGCAGTGCGAAAGGTGCGGGGGTCCAGCTGCTGCGACGCCCAAGAGCAGATCCGGGTTTCGAGCTGTGAGGCAGAGTTTCGGGAATCAGGAGGGTTTAGGGTTTAGGGTTTAGGGCCCAACACCCAAGCCACAAACCCTTGAAAGTAGAGAGCTGAGACATTTGAAGGTCTCTGACATATGACGGCCTCTCGATGCTTCCTCCGGTTTCTTGGCCTTGCCGAGGTCGCCGGAAGGGTGCCTAAAGGATCAGTCGCATTAACAAGTGAGGTTGGAAGTACCTTAACTGGGGCTATAAGTACTTACAAGTATAGTTACCCTGTACTTATAACCTTCAGCCCTAAACCCTAAACCCTAAACCTTACATAGTAAGTCCCATGATCCTTTAAGTATCCTGAGTCGGGAAATGGTTCGCACGGTTTCTGATCCGGCTGATGAGTCCTCCGGTCGCTGGGAGGGAATAGGTGGAGGGTTTAGGGATTTAAGGTTTAGGGTGTAGGTTTTAGGGTTTAGGGATATAAAGTTGAGCTTAAGGGTTCAGGAATGCGGGTAAGCCAGGGGCCTGAATAAGACTCTCGAGGGCCGCACGGTTCCTGTTTGCCGTCTAGTACTAGGCTAGATACCCCGCGAGGCCCTAATCTTTTTGCCTTAAACCCCGAACCCAAACTTCTATGGTTTAGGGTTTCGGGTTTCGGGTTTGGGGTCTACCCTAAACCCTAAACCCTAAACCCTAAACCCTAAACCCTAAACCCTAGTTTAGGGTTTTCGGGTTTTGGGCTGTTAGAGCTTCTCCTTCCAGACTCTGCCTGGCTGTGGCTCGAGGCTTTTGGGATCCTTTCAGTCCAAGCGCTGCTTTTTCAAGCTCGCAAGTCCTGTGAACTCAAGCCCAAAACCTAGGGTTTAGGGTTTAGGGTTTAGGGTTTAGGGGTAACCCTAAGCCCACGGAATAAGTGTGCTAAACCCAAACCCCCCAAACCGTGAATCCTGCATGTAGCTGCTGAGCATGGCAGCCATGGATCCGCCAAGATCTGCCAGAGGAGGCCGGACTGAGTACTTGAAGGGTCACTTGGAGGTTCATGGGTAGTTATAAGTAGGGTTATAAGTAGGGTAACTATAGTTATAACCTATATTAGGGGACCTATAACTCCACTTATAACTACCCATGAACCTCCAAGCAAGGCATGTTAGAGACTCGTGTTCCAGAAAACTCAAGAACTAAGCCCTAAACACCTAAACCCCTAGGCCCTAAACCCTAAACCCCAACCGACGGGGCGCCTTCTTCGGAAAACATCGCAGTCCTGTATGACATGCCCAGAACCGCGACGGTGCTGCCAGGGCTTGTGAGGGGGCTGGGCCTTCCACATCTTGCAAGCACAGTTGCAATATAATACTGTCATAGTACTATTGTTGTACTTTTACAGTACTGTTATAGCACTGTAATGGCAGAATATTATAATACTATAATAGATTGAAGGTGAGAATGCAGACAGCCGATATCGCACTCGCCCTTAGCAGAGCTGACATCCTCCAGCAGCTGAGTGCAGAGGCCCGTAGAGGCAACTCTAATATAACAATGCTAGACACATGCTATTGCTTGATGCTGTACCGCAATATCGATGGATACTTGTTAGGCCGGGAGATCTCCATATCTGAGTTTCGCTGCCATGACAACACAGCGACCGCATTTGCGACGCTCGGAATCTCTGGAAGAAATTCAACGTGCAGGGCTCTTCCGTTGCACGCAGCCTTCAAAAGTGCTTGCAGGCTTCGGGATCATTTTCGAAACAAGGTTGCTTGGGCTGTTGGAAGCGAGCAGGTGCCATGCGCGATATCCGACCATTGAGCAGGTGCAAGGGGCAGGGGCCCACTTGTACAACAACTCGAAGGAAACCAATCACGTAGATGTCTTCATCTCGCACTCGTGGAGTGCTGGGCGCTGGGCAAAATATTTGGCACTTTGCCTGTTTTTCAATTTTTCATTGGCCATCAAGAGCCCTAAACCGGAACCAAGTGTCTCTCCCGCAGCCGGGCTCAATTCTATTGTAGGAGCCTTAATAATTACCTATACTATTTTGGGGGTTCCTTATTATGGTTATAGTACAATGTACCCCAGAACCCCATTCTAATTATTAAGGCCCTTACAGTAGTGAAGCTCGGCCCAGAATTCCATGCTTGGAGCCCTTCTCGTCATTGCTCTTTCTGGCAGCAATGTTCTTTTGAGCATGTCGCAGCCAGCCGCTGTTGAGGACCCCAAGCAGGCTCCATTACCTTCGAGATCAAACTGCGAGTTTACCATGGAGGAAGTGGCTCGGCACAACAGTCAAAGTGATATCTGGGGAGTCGTCGATGGCTACGTCCTTGATCTCACTAACTTCGTGAAAGACCATCCTGGTGGCGAGAAGATCTTTCAGATAACTCATGAGAAGCGCTTTTCCTTTGCGCATGGCCCCAACGCCCACTTTGGAGCCACCTCCGCTGCGTTTGCTGCAGCCTGCAGAGACTTTGAGAGCAAGGGGCGACCGGAGGGCTTCGAGTTCGCCTTTCAGAACCTGGGTTGTCTTTTGGGATCTTTTTTAATTCCCCTCACTATTTTATGGAGAACCATAATAGTAAATTATTTTCAAAGGGCTTAAAGGACAACCTAGGAACTCACGGAAGAACGGTGGCTTAGACAACGCGGGAAGCCTCACGGGCCGAGCCTCCGGACCCGTTGGCACCGTGAAATTCCTGGGGAAGGTCTCCACAGCCTGAGCCCTAAAGCCCTAAGTCACGGGCTTCTACTAACGACCCTACTCCCCAAACCCTAAAGGCCGTAAGCCCTAATCCCCAAACCCTATACCCTAAACCCCAAACTCTATACCCTAAACCCGAAAGACCCTAAACCCTAAAAACCCCAAACCGTAAAGGCCATGATTCCCCAAACCTTACAACCTGCACGTTGAGAGCCTCATCTCCACGCCCCCCCTGCAGCGATTTTGAGGGGTGTGGTTTTTTTAGGGTTGAGGCATTTAGGGGTTTAGGGGTTTTAAGGGGTGTTAGGGGTTTATATAGGGGTTTGAGGTTCAGGGGTTTTAGGGGTTTAGGGGCTTTTTTGGGTTTGTACTGTTGAGGGCATAGGATTTTGACTTTTACCCCTTCCCTTCTTGGGAAGTCATTCGTGGAGTCGGTAGGATCCTGACCGCAGAGCCCGCAAGCAAATATGGGAAAAGAGATCTCTCTTCTAGTGCTATAGTAGTATTATAGGATTATAGTACTACAGTAGTATTGTAGGATTAAAGTACTATAGTACTATTATAGTAGTATAGTACTGTAGTATTATGATATCCGTTGGGGGTTTCATGCTTGATGCCGTGACGGCTACTTGTAATTGGAATACCAATAGCTGAACTGCTACAACTCCAACGACCAGTACAACCACAACGACAACTGCTACTCGTACTGACCCTAAACCCTAAACCCTAAACCTGCTAGTGCTGAGGCTGCTGCTACCCGTAGGGAGCTGGACGGGGCTTGGGGTTTCAGTTGAGGGTTTCGGGCTTGCCGAAAACGCTTGGCGTTTAAAGTTGGCAGTTGTCTTGCGGCATAGTACTGAATATGATGTACAAGACCGTGCCATACGGATTCCCTCGACCTTCCCCGAAAGAAGCAGAATGAGCTCACCCATACGATGACGGTATTCGGACCAAGGGAAGTGGCCATCCATGCACGGAGTTTAAGCGGGCCGCCAAGTCGCATTGAAGTTAAGGCTTTATCAGTCAGGAAGTAGGAAATCGCACACACTTCCTCGAGCTCGCACCCTAAACCCCAGCCCCTACCTACTCCAGGCTCACAAGATGGATCTCCAAACCCTACACCCGCAGCCTTTAGACTAAAACACTACCAGCCCGAACCCCCACAACCCTAAACCACACAACCCAAAGCATTACACACGCCTGATCCCCCAAATCACGAACTTCTGGGGTCAGTTGACAACATTTTTTTCCCAGCTGGCTGTGCTAAAGTTAAAGGATTCGGATTGTAACAGTCGTCCCACACCTGGCGTATCCTGATTGTAATCCTTTAGTCACACCTTCGGCCATGGTAAGTTAAAGCGACCCATAAATCCTAAACCCTAAACGCCGGAACCTTGGAATTTGAAGACGACCCTATGAACCTCTGAAGTCCCTGCCCCCGTCAAGGTCATGAGAGAGAAACCTGTCATAAACTTAGGGTTTAGGGTTTAGGGCTTAGGAAGTAAGGTTATGAACAGTTACTACCGTTAGTAGCTCTACTTACCAAGTCCGCTGGGCCTTGAAGTAGTACTACTTGCCGACCTCGTTGAGCCGTGTATGGTAGGTGCAGGTATGCGAACACGTAAGAGTACGACAAGTATACGACCCATACTGACAAGTCTAGGGGAATAACTAGGCAGATACCGAGACATACGCGTGATCATGAGAGTGATGATCTCCAGCGGTTCACCCTGAACCCTGACCCCCCAATCAGAGCATCCTTGAACCACAAGCCCAAAACCAGCCACGCTTAACCTCAAACCGCAAACCTGAAAGCCTGAGCCCTAGTAGACCCTGGATCCAGTGCATTGGAATCGAAAAAACTAAGGGTTGGGAGTTTAGGGATTTAGGGTTTAGGGATTGAGGGTTTAGGGCTTTAGGGTTTGGGGTTTAGGGATTAGGGAGTTAGGGAGCCGTAAAGACCTAAACCCCCGAAGAAAGCACACGCCAGGAAGCGGCTGAGAGCCGGGAGTGTCACAGGGGATCGGAGAGGCGTCCCTGAGCCAAGAAGATTGCAGAGCTTAGGATTCCTTTAAGGGTTCCTGTACTAGGGTTTAGGGTTTAGGGTTTATGGTTTAGGGTTTAGGGTTCAGAGTTTAGGGTTCAGGGTTTAGGGGTCAGGGTTTAGTCTTTAGGGGTTCTGTCAGGATTTAAGAGTTCCTATAATAAGCCTGTCTCTAAGGGGTCCGGCAAGGACTCCTTTAAGGGAGCACGCGTGGATCTATCGGGGTCTTAGAGTCCTGAAAGTCAAGCTTGTAAGGGATGTTAAGGGTTTAGGGTTAAGGTTTTAGGGTTTAGGGCTTAGTGTTTAGGGCTTAGGTGAAGTTAAGGGACTGTAGAAGGGTTGTGTACAGGCCCTGCTCGGGTTTACTCAGGGTTTGGGACTCATGGGCTTTGGCGCTTAGGGTTTGGCAGCTACATAACCCTCAGCCAGAGACCCAAAAGCCAAGTCCCGCAAGAAAACGCCAACAAATGTATGATTATCATGGGTCAGTCAAGGCAACATGGAAAAGGTGAGCCACGAGTGCCAGTGCCAACATCTGACTTCTCCGCGCGCCTCAGGTCCAAAGTTCTAAACCTAAACCCACAAACCGTAAACATCTCAAGTTTTGCGACGTATGACGGCTTGTTGATGCTTCTTCTTGTTTCTTAGTGTTCTTGGGCATGCCAGGGTTCTCGAGATGATTCGCAGGGTTTCTCATCCCGCCAACAAGGGGGAGGGTTGATGGGTTTAAGGTTGAGCTTGAGGGTTCAGGCATGAGGTCCGCATAAGAGCCCCAGTCTTTCCACTCAGGCCTCTACGTCAGATCTAAGCTTTCCACACTGTGCGGGGCCGTCCCTCGACCGAAGCAGTTGTTGATGCACGGCTTTCGGGAACCTTTTGGGTCCAAGCTCTGGCTTTTTCAGGAGATTGTCTTATCTACTTCAAGTTCGCCAGGTTCTATAAACTATTATAAACTCAGGGCATAAGTTCCCTGAAGCCAAGCCTGAATCCAACATGTAGCTGCTGATCATGGCAGCCATGGATCAGCCCAGCTCTGCAGGAGGAGGCTTGGGTGAGTGCTTGAAGGATCAGGCGACTTCTAAAGTAAGGCTATGACATGAGTACCGTAAGTGTGTCATTGTTAGAGCTAATGCGAAGGAGAATCATGATGAGGAGGACGAGGTTGATGGTGATGCTGTTGATACTGCTGCGCATATGCTAGCAAGTACTACTTCCTAGGCTTCCGAGCTACGAACACCTTCTGCAGCTTCCTACTACCCCCTGCAAAGTTCCCACTCCGAAACCTCATTCCTAGCTGTCAGTACCTTTACCTGCCACTCATACCGCCTACCTCCTCCTGTTGCTACTCTCACCTTCTACCTATCCTCTCAATGCTACCACACCCGGCCTTCATGTTTGATCTTTACCTCATAACCAGCTTTGTCCAGATGGTTAAGGCCACGGGATCGGTGGCTTTATCGTCGGGCCCTCGAGCCGTAGATCTTAAGCAAGGGCCCCCCTGTACCTCCGCACGAATTGCAACCTGACAGCTTGTGTCACTGACCTGCCGCTGCCCAGGGGCTTTGAATGGTAGGTCTGTCTTGCTTCGCATGCATGAGAGCACGGAGAACAAGCGTCCTGTGGCTGCCGTCACCATTTCGCAACCCATGGCTTTGCAAGTCGAGGAGAAGATCAACGAAGAGCTGGATGCGGCCTCGGCTGAAGCATCGAGATGACCCTGCCGAGGTCAAGCCGGCTGAGGCAAGCCGAGGCACGAAGCGCTCGGATGGGCAATCGTGGGAAGCCTACCTGCTAGCACCGCCCAAGTGGCCTAGATTCGCGATGACGGCACCAATGAAGACTGCTTTTCGTGAGAGGATGGCGCGTCCGCGCTTGCAAGAAACTAGGGATTCGCGGCAGGACAGGAGCGACTCAAGAGATTCTCGTGATTCGACGGACAGATTGCATCCAAGAGCCGCGTTCCACCCACCCAAAGCCGCCTTCCGAGCTCCAGAGCCGATTCCACCCATCCCACGAGATGATTCGCGAGACTCCAGAGACTCAAACGACTCCAGGGATTCGCGCGAGGATTGGTACGGATGGCTTCAATGGTCCGGTCACAAAGGTGCAGATGCGTCTTGGCATAGGTCCAAGGATTCTGCGACCGCGTGGCAGAGGCCTGGGAAGTCCTCGGCTGGAGGGGAGACGACTTGGGCGCTAAAGGAGCTCGCTGAGGTTCGAAAAAAGCTTGTTGCCACCGAGGAGGCATTGTGCCAGGAAAAGAGTCTGCGCGCCAACTTGCAGGAGAAGCAAGACGTAGAAGAGAAGCAGGTGCAGAAGCTTCAGGCTAGCTGGCAAGAGCAACAAGAGCAGCTCGCATTGCTAAAGGACGCGGAGGCCAGCTGGCGGCAGCAGCAATGTCTAGCTGATGAGAAGCTAAAGCAGCTGCAGGCGGGGCTGGGGCACCACATTGACGTAACAACGAGGGGTACAGATGTGCTAAGCAAATATGTAAGTGAACTTCTGCAGATGTTTGGATGCAGATCAACGGTTTAGTAAGAGTATAGTGCCTGTGCCCACTCCGAGGCTCAATTGAATGATGAGAATGTGAGGCGGATCCATGCAGAGGAGCAGCTCGAGAAGTTGCGACCGCTCACAAGTTCCGTCAACCATGGGGCATTTTGGCAGTACGAGCTGGACGGTTGCTGGCATGCATTCACGCCGGAGGGCAGCGAGCAGATGCACCGTGCCTATGTGGAATACCTCGCCGACGGCCAGAAGTGTTGCACGGCGACCATAGTAGCTGGGGGCGTTGCACGCCTGGTTGATTTCAGGCGAATGACCCAACAGCATACCATCACCAAAAAAGTGCGCAATATCCGCATTCGCATGGGGGTACCGGCGCAGTGGGAGAGTAGCCCAGCAGTTCTGCTTACACAGAGCGACAACTTGGAATCTTGTTATGTGGAAGTGAAAGATCGGCCCATGCTCGAGTGGATTAGGGTCATCCTCGTAAAGACAGGTCACTTTCGCGACTGGTCAAGTCCTTGCTTCTGCATGCAGAAAGCGGAGGTCAAGTCAGTCCACCGCATTGAGAACTTTCGGCTTTGGCATCGTTATCAGACCAGGCTTGCTGCGATGAGGGAGGACCATACGAAATACAACGTCTCTGTGCAACATGCAGATCTCGAACTAGATTTTAGCATACATTCGGGCGTGATGACTTTTTCTCAATCTTATCTGAATTGTGGGGAGACCATGGCCTCTGATGTGCAAGAGAAGATACTGTTGCATGGTACCTCCTGGGAGAATGCTGATGCCATCGTCATGGATGGCTTCGATCATAGGACGTGCGCTCGCGGTATGTACGGGGATGGTGTCTACTTTGCAGGTGCTGCCTGCAAGTGCCACCAGTACACATGCCAAACGCACAGTGGCAAGGCGTGCTCGTGTAAACACGAGAGGACCTTGATCATTGCTCGTGTGGCGCTTGGTGATGCTTTCCACGCATCTCAAACCCGAAAAGGGGAACGTCGGCCTCCCAAAAGAGATGGTGCAACAGGTACACATGGTTCTGTTGTTGTGAACCCTGGGCGAATCCATGGGCATCACAATCCCAATCAAATTCACCAGGAGTTCGTCATATTCGATCGAGAGCAAGCTTACCCTGCGTTTGTTGTCCAATACGTGCTCTGATGCCCGCAGCTTTGGACTGCACGCTGGGATTGAAGCAACTTCGTAGTCGTAGTCGTAGTAGGAGGAGGAATTGTAATGTCAGCAATGATGCAACTAGCACGCACATCTCATAAGCACCGCCAGCGCCAGTTCCTTTCCGAATCGCGTACTGGTTTTGAGCATGTGAGCAGACACGGCACCATGGGCCTGGACGAAGTCAGGCCCTTGGGAGTCTGAATTTTTGAAGACGAAGCATCCGGCCTGAAACGCGAAGCGGGTGTGGGCTTGGCGAACCAGACGAAAACACTTGCATCAGCATCCATACTCTTGGTAATCATGATACCATGATGTCAGTCTTAAGTCTTAGGACCAGCGCCGCCCTTGGCTGCGGCTGTGCTAGTGATAGTAGAGTTAGGGAATCTGTGAGGCTTGTCATGGACCCCCGGTCCCCTGGCTCCTTGTTATCCTCGAAGTATGGCCGGAACGACTTCAGCCTTATTCCCAGCCTCCCTGCACCACAACACCTCAAAACCAAAAAGGAATCCTTAACCTATGATGCTGAGACTGTACACCCCCAGAGCCCACACAACCCTGAATCCCAAAGGCCCGAGCCCTTCAACCCCGATCCCGCTCAGGTCTCACTCGTGAGCTGGGTGCTGCCGTGGTTTCGGATTTAGGGCTTGGTTTTGAGGGTTTACTTGGAGGTTCATGGGTGGTTATATGTGGAGTTATACGTCCCCTAATATAGGTTATATCTATAGCTACCCTACTTATAACCCTACTTATAACTACCCATGAGCCTCCAAGTAGGATTTGCGGTAGTTTGCGGTAAACCCTAAACCCTAAACCCTAAACCCTAAACCCTAAACAGGATTGGGGCTTTGGGGTCTAGGTCCAGGTGTTCAGCTCTCTCTCTGTCGGGCCTTGGACGCGCCGACTCAGGGCTTGCGGTTGACATCCTAGGGTATGGGGTTTAGGGTTTAGGGTTTAGGGTTTAGGGTTTAGGGTTTAGGGTTTAGGGTTTAGGGTTTAGGGTTTATATAGGGTTTAGTGTTTAGGGTTTCGGGTTTCGGGTTTCGGGTTTAGGGTTATCAGCCTTCTTTCCGATAGTTCGTACGAGAGGTGAGCTGCAGAAGACGGCTCGACACCGATTGAGCTTGTCGTGTTTCCCCTGCTGTCGGAATTTGAAACGGCCGGATTTCGGAGCCAGCGTAAACCCTAAACCCGAAGGCTAGCTGATTACTGTTACTGTTTATTCTCACTCCGCTTCGTGTTCCTATCACGAAGCCTTTTGTCCTGTATCACCAATCGGCGCAGTCAGCGAGACCGCCAAAACAGCTGCGTACCGGGAAGCACCATGGGTAGTTATAAGTGGAGTTATAAGGTCCCTAATAGGGGTTATAGCTATAGTTACCCTGCTTCTAACCCTACTTATAACTACCCATGAACCTCCAAGCAGGCTTTCAGAATTTTGGTGATCAGGATCTGCAGGTCCCAGACTCGACGTTAAAAGCCTCCGCTCGGCAGTTGATCAGAGGCCCAAAGTGCACAATCCCAAAGCCCACATCTGAGAAGGTGTAAATTTGATTTTCCGGACTTAGATCAGACGTTAATGCTGGAGGTGGTGGGGTGTTGCTTGGGTGCAGATGGAGAAGAGGACTATGTTGACCTGCGGGATGAGGATGATGGTGATGACGGTTACGGCGACTGTCTGAGAGTGGTGATAGTGATTCCGGCGATGAACGTGCCGAAGCAGACTAGGATGCTGATCAATACCATGATGAGAATGACCGCGCAAGCGCTTGAGACAATGATGACGATGATCACCGCCACGGAGCCACCATGATGACATTATTCTTGTTGTTGATGATGATGATGATGATTGTGCTTCTGCCCCTCGTGCTGTCGTGCCGCTGCTCCTGCTTCAAGTCCTCTTGCATAAGCCCGCCGCTCTCTTGTCGTCGCTGCTGCTCGATTTTTCTTTGTCATCGTAGGGCTTCGGACCCGAGCTTGGAAATTCCCATGCGCCGAAATTGGTGGTTTGAGTGTTGGGTGAGAGTTGTTTGAGGTCCCAGATCCGATGCTCGCCCTTTGGATGCTTGCCCACGTCGAACATCGCAAACCCGTCTCCAAGACAGAAAACTCCGAAGCGCTGCGCCGCCGGGCCACCCCAAAGGCAGCAGAGGGGCAAGGTAGGTACAACCAGCGCCCAGTCTCCGGCGCCCTCTCCCACAGGCTCCCCGGCTGTTAAAAGTGTGTATGTGTGTACACATGTACGGATGGATTGAGTTATGGATGCATGGTAGTCGTACTTGCGTCTGTATGCGTTTTTGTGTGTGTATGCGTGTGCAGTATTCATATGTACATGTACATATCGCAAGTGAATATACATGTATATATATATATATGTATATATGTATATATATATATATGCATGTATTGATTTGTGTATGTACATGTATGTGTATATATATATATACAAGCATGCATATATGCGGGTATGCATGCATGTATGCATGTATGCTTGTATGCATGTATGCATGTATGCATGTATGCATGTATGCATGTATGCATGTATGCATGTATGGATGCCTGTCTGTCTGTCTGTCTGCCTGCCTGCCTGCCTGCATGGATGTATGTATGTATGTATGTATGT